TCGTTATTAAATGAAGACATACCATGGATGTTACAAATAATGTTATATATTGAACAAACTTTACGATGGTGTAGTGGATTGAACTTAATCGATAGTTATTTTTAAACGATTAATAACTTGAACTTGACTATTTACAGTTAAATATTCATATTAGTTAGTTACATATGTGACTATTTCTATAGCCGTATTTGTGTACAATCTACAATTGTTTTAATTCAAGATTATTGCTACAACTTAGTGATAAACCCTATAACTAATATTTTCTTCCATATATTAAATCAATTATTCAAAATAAATGTAGAAAAACAACATGTTTTATTGTGAAGTAACTTACTTTTGTCAACATATAGACGAGTTAAAGTTTTATTTCAAAGAATATATTGGTTTTACTTAACTGTAAAGAGATATAACTTTTCATTCTATATCCCTCTAGCATGATCATTTATGCAAAACAGATCCGTATTAAGAATGGAACTGAAATTCAACAACAGAAAAATATCGACAATGTACTCCAAGAAAGATCTTAGACTGAGACTCAAACTTGTTATATATAAAGTGAATGACATTTACTCTTATGATATTGTTAATTTATTTGTACACTGATCTCGTCACAATCTGTTCTACCGGTTCATTCAATAATGTATGATGATATAGCAGGCCAATATCATTCTACTGAATTGTATTAATTAGAGAACTTGTATAGGTTCATGATTTATATATCCATTCTTTAATAAACTTTCTAGTCAACAATCAATAAAGGTACTTTCAGCATTACTATTTCTACGCCAGACGAATTTGCTAATTTCTGTTATTCATATCAATGTATTTATTCTTATATTTATAAAATTTATATAAATAAATAATATATGTAAATTTTCAAAGTGCTAGTGAAATAAACGATCCGATAACTTTCCCAGCAAAATTTGCCATATCGTTGAAAACATCATTTTCATTATCAAAATGTTCGATACCCCGATTAGGTTCTTCATTACCATCAGGATCTTGTTCTTCATAGTGATAATCAACTGAATCATCATTATCCCAATGATCTTGACCAAAATCATCACTTGCTAATTGACGAACAGTCCACATATCGAAACAAAGATTTGGATCTGTCATATAATCGTAAGGTATATAACAATAGCCGTTATCTCCCTAAATAAATTTGATTTTAACTAAAGACTTTTTAGATCATTTTTCATACCCAATATTTTCCCCAAGAGTTTCGGACGATAAAAGAATATGACTGATCACTATAACCAACAGCTAGAAGAGCATGACTAAAGCAAAATATAATAAAATCATTCCTTACCAAAACTTCTGAATTATCCAAATTAAAAATTGATCTTAACTATTGACTAATTCTGTTTGAATGAGATAGCTTTTCTTTGAAAAACAACGCTAACTAACAGATATGCAAAGAAAACAGAGTATTGTTCATATATATCGACAATAGTGATTCTATTATAAACAAAGAACTGAGTTATAATAACTATAGAAGAATATTCCTGAAATATTTATATTCCAATCGAAAAATAAAACAATACTTATGGGAAATTTTATGAGACACCCATTTTGATTGCACAAATTGTATATTTCCTAAAATCGAAACTATCTATGAATACTTTGACAATCTCAATAAAATAGTCTTTTCATTCTGTAGTCGATACGATACTTTTATGGAAGATATAGTCTTTTTTCTATATCTGCAAAGACAAAATACATTACTAGTCAGACATATGATATAATCATAAACTTACCTGCCATGTGATTCTCGACTTTGTTCATCTGGATCAGGTATTGGTACAACACCTGATTTTGCTGCTTTATCAAATGAAGTAAATAATTTTAGACCAAAAGTAAATGGAAAACCTTGTGCTAAACAAGATTTCATTTGATTCAAATCTAGATCTACTTGAAACGCTTCGGTAATTTTAAAATCATCAGCTGCTTGATAGGTTTGTTGATCAGGAGTTACATTAACATTTTGAATATTGTATGGCCACATTGATTCGAGACAAACACCATATTCTTGCAACGTTTCAATACCATCTGTCATAGAACAACCGGAATCTGTCAATTCACCAGATTGATTTTTAGATGCACGAGCATTATAATAGATGAAAAGACGACTGACATCAATATCATAACCATTACCTTTCTTTGCTAAATATTCATAAGCACCTAGAATGAACAAACAAAAAAGGATATTTTCGAAAGTTTCATTAAATTTTACCAGCAAGACTATTAGCTACACTAGAAAAGAAAAATATTTATTATAAGAAAATCATTTAAATTTATTCATTACCAACTACCAATTTTTGATTGATCTTCAACAGAAGTCATATTGGCTCTAAGATCAACTTTTGGTGGTAACTGATCACTACTATACATAACATGATCAGCAAATGATTGTCGTAATTCTGGTTTACGTGGTAAGGATCTTGATGGTTGAATACCATTTAGACGACATGCACGAGATTCAATACGATTTAATAGATAAGCTAATCGAGGCATATTAATGTTTTCTTTTTATCAAATATTCTTAGTCTATCTAAAAGATTTTTGTGCAATTATAGAAGTACATTTTTTTAATGTAGGCTTTATTTAAAATACATAGGTGACTCGGATAAAAGTATTAAAAATCATTATTAGATCACACTCAATACAAAGAAGAAAATCTTGCTTGTTTTATTTCATAAGAATAAATAATTTCTGACTATTGAGACGTATATATCTACTTCATTACAAGCCATAGTAAATGTATTTAGCAATACGATTTTTCTGTCATAAACTATAATGATCATTTAATTCTACAATACTAAGATATCTGTATTCTGCCTTGCTTCTAAACTTACTATAGCATATTGTGATTAATATTATAATTGGTGCAATCCATTCGTAGGTCATATTTCAATGAGAAATGGAATATTTGGTGTATTTTAGGTTTTTAAATGCTAATTAGTGATATTATGAAATAAATTAGTTTACAATGATGTAAACGTCTCTTTTCGGTATTCTATTCAATTTATTGTGATTATTAGCATATTGAGAATGTTCTTGAATGACTTCCTATTCTCCAACTAACTATGAATAAATAGAAGAAAATTAATGAAAGCATAAACTTCATTAGAAATGTACTCATAATAAAACACTGAGAAGAAAACGCTTAACTACTAAAATACATACCATGTAAAATAATTGACGAACGCAATCAAGTTGTCAATTCTTGTTTTCAACTTTCTCTCGCTCAAGTACTTTATTTGATTCAATAACTTTGATTTTTTTTCAATGGATTTCTTTGCGTAACGCATGGTCGTCATTATTCATATATAAAAAAAAAGCAAATCAGTCGGTAAAGAGGAAAACAGAACGATTATTTCTTCTATAGAGCGCTGTAAAAATATGTATATGTAAAACTCTTTATTTCAGTCGTCAAGGTAAAAATATTATTTGTAATGTTGTTGATTGTAATCAAAGCCTTTTCTTTACGTTGTTATAAGAATAAAACAAACTTCGTCATAACATGAATGACTAAGACAATTCATAGTTTAAATAAATGAATTGTAACTAAATATTCAATAGTTATTTTTTAACATTCAGTTGCTAGAAGTTCATATTTTCAATTTGATATAGCTCTCAGCAATAAATAATGTATAAAAAATACTTTGAGTACATATGACCCCTATTAATAATAAACAAATGAAAACCATAAGGTATAAAACTGATAGATAAAGATCTTTGCTTGTATCAAAATGTCAAAGAGAGATAGTAACAATGTATGAAGTCTATTTTTATCAACAGAGAAGATCGATCACTTTTAAATCTTTGAAGGAAAAATAATACATTTTAATGTACATCCTACTTTTGACCACACGGTAGAATATATTTTTTTGTTTATCAATACGATATAATTTCATTGCAAATGAGTTATTTTGAATAAAAATTTTCTAGATAATAGATGCATATTTTATATTATTGGATGCCTGGATATTATCGATGAAAAATGGTCTTTATATAATGATTGGAAAAAATAAGATGAATGAAGCAGATAGATATAGGCCGTTTCATCTTCCGTTCTATTTTCTTTCCATTAGCGTTGAGTAGATTTATTAATAGATATTTATTCGAATTCTTATCTTTTATTTTATTTACGGTCATATATAGTGAACAATGCTACATTATTTCATTCTAATTATAGTTCTATAGAAAACAACTATTAACACGAATTTTTTAAATAGTTTTATTTGTTATATTTAACTAATCAACGTTTTAAATAAGATTTTATAAGTATATAAGTTAAATGAATACGAGATATTTAAGATTGATATTATTATTAACATCGAAGATTGTGAGGTAATCATCTATAATTCCTTTTTCTTGTCTTCCTGTGACGTCAAAATTCTATTAGACTATATATATATATAAGTATGAAAAAAAATACAATTAGAGAAAGTGAGAGAGTAGAATAAAATCTTCTTCTAAAAAGAGAGATATATCATTACTCTTCATCTCCAGATATAAAAAAAGTATGCAATTGAGAAAATCGTAAAGGTAAGAGCTATATATTTACATGACGTATGATAGAAATTGAAGAATACAAGCACAAAGACTTTTTTCATATTAAAAAATCCAGGTTATATTTAAAGAAGAATCTGAGAAGAACACTCTTCTTTTTTTTTACAAAAAAATCGGATTCAAGGTAAGAGTATCCTTTAATACTTCTATATATCTTCTGTAATCAGAGACATAAGTTGCTAATAAGTAGCTTATTGTATAATAGTAATTCAGTTTTTCTAGTTTGTCACTCGATTGAGCAGACTATTTTTTTCATTCGATATTTGTCTTGTACCTATATTAACTGTGAATGTACTCAAAATACACAGAAAAGAAATATATTCTTAAGCTATTTACTTTTGTAGAATATGAAACATATACCTTTTACTTATATGTAATTATATGATTGATTCAGAAAGTGCTGACTGGTAACAAACATCTTCTATTTAAAAAAGTATCATTTTTAATCAAACAACTATTGAAGTAAGAAAAAGGATGGATTATGTTACTGATAGAATCTACTAATTAAATCTATTTTCTTGATTAATCTAGCTGTGCTTTTGACAGTATTTTATAATTTGTCGTGTTTTTTTCTGAACTAATGTAATAGTACTTGTCATGTAAAACGTTACTAACAGAATGTAAGATTAATTTTCAGTCTAACATTGAAATTACGCATGTAAGAGAGAGTAACATTTCTCAACGCAATAGTCGTGAATTTTACTGAAATATAAACGACCATGATTACTGTAATATGATTTCGTCTGAAACTGATAAAAGTAGAAAGATGTACTGCATTTATTTTATATATCCTTTTAAACATAAAGATTAAATTGAAAATAAAACTAATAAAACATAGTATTCGTGATAGTGATCAATAAAAATAATAGTTTTTTTTTAAGAAATTGATAATAATATAAATAGATTATGAGATACTGCAATAATATTCAGACTACTGAATTAAAGAAAAAACGCAGTGATGCGATATTTCCTATTTAAATTAGATTTGTCTCGATAGAGATGACAATTGTCAAGTGTGTTGCCTGTGAATCTGTTTCTGACATGTATTTCGTATCTAAAATATTAATCAATAATTACTACGAGTGACTTATAGCATCGTATATTTTCAAATAAGATCTAAACTAAAATTCAAGTAATATAATACGAAAGCTCTACACATGTAAATCTATACTACTGATTGATAGCTCTATTAACGTCAACAACTATGATATTAAAGCAACTATAATAATTTTTGAATTTTATAATTATTATCGACTTACTTTCGACGTAAGTATATTCATATTATTAAAATCTTGAAGTTCATGTATATTAATATATTCGGCACAAAATATATTTAACCAAATGTGAATAGACAGACGTTTGACAACTCTATTTGCTATTGAGATATAAAGTTTCAACATGAACCAATCATTAGCACTATACTGCCCATGCATATATATATATATGTATTTAAAGACTTTCACAGAATAACCTTGAATACATAGTTTCATGCAATTTCAGTTGATCGGATAATACAATCCCACAGATTTCTAGGTATCTAATATTCGTTTAGGATCTGTATGATCAGTAATAGAAAGTTTAACAGTTAACCAACACTAAATATACAATAAGATACACTACAAAAAAATTATAAATACTAAAATCTTTATTATTGAAAGCAATCTTTTATTGATTGATGTTGTTGTTGTATTATTTTACCACTCTATATAAAGTATCTTCTTAATATTTATTGTCTTTATAAATTTTTCAGATTTATAACCTGATAATATTACAGTTCTAAAACTATCGTATATGATGCAACATCCATCGAAAAAATCGGCTGGCGACAAAAAGCACGTTAAAAAAACGAAAGATTCACTGCCAAGCAATAAAATAACTGTAGGTAGTGAATACAATGAAAGTATTATATACAGTTTCCAAAATGATTATGGAAAACAATTAGAAGAACTTGAACGTGAAGCTGATATGCAGTCAAAAGAAATTGAACTTAACAATCTTGTTGAATATGTTTCACAACTTGTTGATTTATTAAAACATACCGTTCTTATACCTGAGTTACAAATTAAATATGATTGGCATGAAGATCATGAACATCAACTAAAACGTAATAAAGGTAGTACTGGAAACAGTCTTCTCGACGATCGAGTTCAACAAATCGCTATTGAAAAAGGCTTAACCAGAGAACAATGGAAACATCTTCTTTATTTAAATTTTACTGCAGGTGATAGTTTAGATATGATCAATGTTAGCAAAAGCCATTTAAAAAAGGTACATGATATGGCATCACGTCTACTTGAACCCGAAGAAAAAGCAGCTGCCTTTGCTCTTGTTGATGCTATTGAAAGATATATGCCGGAAGATCATTACATTGATAGATGATCAATTCAGTATTACAAATAATTTGAAAAACATTCGATTTTTTTTCTTCTCCATACTATTCTATTGTTTATGTGGTTCATAGATTCAAAACTTTTTATGTAAAAAAAACAAATTTTATTATCCTCAAGCTTTTATTCTAATGTTGTTTAAATTGCATAGAATTTTATCATTTAGAATGCTTATGTATTTGATATGCTAGAAATTTTGTTGTTCTTCCTATCATTTCATTTAACAGTATATGCTACTATATTTCTATATCATGATTTAGAAAAAAGTATTGCTGTTTTCTTCAATAAAACAGAATTATATATTACCACTTTGTTGACATTCATACATAAGGGTGTGTATTTGGATATGAATATTAAATATATGCTATGATCGACAATGCTTATTTTAATATCCATTCATACTATCATCAAGATAATTATAGGATTTGCCACTTAGTACTCTTGTTTACCATATCAATAGTGCTTCGATATTTTTATTATTGAGAAAAAGGGAAATTGATACATGAGTATGATTTAAAACTTTGGCTTTAATTACAAAAAATCTTTATTTTTCGAATAAATAAAGATCTACTTTGTTTTGGTCTTAGAAATAAAAGTATCTTTATTCTTATTTATACTTGAGTATAACTAAAAAAGTGTTCGAAACAGAATTGGACACAGCGTACAAATTAGGCAGATAAAATGCTTATACAATAATCAGTATAATCAAATTATCAATACATTGTACACGTTAAAATCTCTCGCTTTTCTCTAAACACGCATCTATCGATAATTAGCGTACCTTCAACATCAGCTTCCAAAGATTCTTAGTGTGACATATATCAAAGGTTTAAATCGCGCACTATAAAATTTAAATCAGACATATTGTATGATCTTTTGTTTGAAAACATTTTTGACTTGAGATTAAAATAACTATCTTTCACATAACCATTTTTTTGATGGAATAAAATAATTCAAAAATGATAGATCGAACTTGATTTTTGCGTTTGCTACTATAGTAGAAATCAATTTCTTTTAGCTTGATTTAATGAATTTAGATATCTCTGACCGATATTTAAATTGGCGCGAGTGTGAGTATAGCTAATTAATGAACATCCACCTTACCTTCACTCACACATACACCCTAAAGAAACACATTGATATATACCGATAGAATCAAGTAGATCGAATATAAATTCTTATTAAATTACGAATAGTAATGTCTTTAATTGTCTTAATTTAAATATTTCATTGAAATTTTATATAATTTTTGATGATAAAGTATTTTCCACTTTGATATGTAAAATATTACGACAAGATGAAGTTTCCTTTTCCACGTTTTCAAAATTAATTCTTAGTTGAGAAACGACCACTACGTTCATGATGGTTATGCACTTCAATAAATTTACTTTTTTCTCTTTCAAACGTTTTTTTTGTAATAAAAAGAACAGAAAAGAAATGTGCAATATATAATATTTTTTTAAACACAAACATCATGTTGTAGGCACGATTTTTAGTGTTCTTTCTTATAAATTTTTAATTTCTTTTCTTTTTCTCTAAATAGTACATTCAGTTAAAAAACTTTAAAATGTGTATTTCAAGCAATTCTTTTTGCAGTAAGTTATATTGTATCTTTTTTTCTTACAGTAAGATATACATATATCAGATTTTTACTGATCTAGTATAAAATTCTTTGTTGAATATAGAAGAATAATTTTGATATATTAATTTAATGAAAATAATGAGAATTTCAGTTTAATCATAGAATTCATTAGCATAGTCCCTGTCAAATAAAAATATGAAATATAACCAAATTATTCAAGTCATTAATCATGAAAGTTACCATAGTTTATTGATAATACAGATGAAAGGTTTTACAATGAAAATAAACAAATGTTATAGTGAAAATATATTAAATTTATAAATATTCTTCTAAGTAATCCCCGAATAAACTTCAATTTCACTAAAATATCCGCCAGAATTTATAGGAGAGATAAAGCTACATATTCAATTTTATATCTACTTCCACATTTATTCTTGGAACATATTTTCATTAATATCAAGTAGATATTCGAATGAAAACGAGATTCTTCTTTGTATATAAAAAAGAGATCAGATAAATATCCATTCTAATCAGCGGAAATCAATTTACGCTTATTTAATCAATGTTTCTAGTATTTGTTAGAAATTTATTTTTTGACAAATAAACTTAGTATTTTATCACGTGGTATGTCTTGATTAATAAGAAGAAAAAAAATTTACTCATATTTATTTTACGAGAAAAAAAAAAGAAGAATTCAAAAATAAATTTTTTTGACGACGTTGTTTTTTAATTATATTTTAACGTGTAAGAAAAAAAGAATAAATTTTAGTTTGGACTTTTTTCCTCAGTAAATCAAACAATTTTTACGTTTTTCTTACTAGACAATGTGAGATTGTTACTATTTCTACGGTAAAGAAATACAAAAATAAACATAGTATTGCATACTATCAATCAGTTTTTGAGATTAAGCACCGATTCTAAGGTAATCGTGTACATTTTTTCTACTTATACTATCATATCTATATAGTTAGCATTGTTTGTCTAGTCACTGAGAGATATATTCGATTATCTATTTTGCTATTCCCTCCAATTATGATATTGATTTCGTGCCTGTTCATTGATGTGTATCCTGGTGTACGTCTTACGTGATCCTTTACTACTTATTATTTAACTTTCTCTATCATAAATCTTTAGAATTGTTTAGCCCTGTTTGCTGATGTACTCCTCATGCTAAACTTTATTATCCGCTCGTGTGATCACAGTCATGTACAATTTCTGATTTTATGACGTATACATAAATTATAAACCTAATCCTCTGTAGTCTAAGATCATATAAACTTCATCTTACTTTTTATTATATATTCAGTACACCACAGCCCTTTGTATAATGCCCCATTTTGTTTGAAATCGGTAAAAATTTATGAATACGCGAGGATTAGATAAAAGTTCCATCGATGATATAAATGCTTACTTTAGGTGGAAAAATGAAATTCAATGAGAATAATATTAGTTTGTATAGGAATTATGATTTTGAAAAAATGAATTATATGTACGCCTGTCGGAAGAATGATCAGAGAATTCATTTTAAAAATCTTGATAATGGGCAGGAATTTTAACTTTCAGTTATAAAATCATGTTTTCTATTAGAATCGAGTCTTAGATAGTTTCTATTTTTTTGTATATTTATATTTTTTTTAAGGGTTTGAGGATAAACGTGATTTAAGATTAATTTCGTTCACCTAGATAAAATGTTATTCGTAATGAAGATAGAAGGTGAGCAACTTGGTAAAGAAGTTAAAATAATTGCGATGAATATGGTGAAAATAATGAGGACAAACATTAAAACATATTCACATTATTACGACAGCGTATGTAAGCGGCAAAAGTAAAAAATATCATACGCATTTTACTTTACGTTGTGATCGTATCGATACAGTATCTTGATGCGTATGTACATAATTATATATCTTCGATAGCTATATATAAACAGAAAGAAAAGAAAAAGAATTTTTGCTCTAAATGACATTAGTCCGCCTAAAATAAGTATTTCTCTCGTCGATCAAAAATCTGTCCACTGCCGCGCAGCTTCATGTAAGCGAAAGAACTGAGATGTTGAATTCCTGAAATCAATATATCTCAGTTGCAAGAACTGAATTATTGAAAAGGATTTAGCTTGTATCAAAAAATTTGTTCGAATGACGGATCAGATCTCTATCTAAATTTGTATCATATAATAAAATCACATAAAGATGTATAGTCACCTTCAATATAAAGTGAACAATATATAGATAGAAATTTATTTCCATTTAGCCATTTCTATTATTATAGGATTTTATCGATGCGAAGATAAATTAACTTCCTTCCGTTCAATCGGTTTTTTTATATTTGTCAAGAATTATTTTATCAGATATATGACGCCATATTATCATAGAAAAATTAAAGTGCTTCTCAGTGAGTAATTTACTATTATTTTTTACATTGGAAATTTTTTTTCAGTATCATATTTATGGACAACTAGAAAGACTGTGTGCAAAATTTTTTTCTATAACATACATATTTAATCTTTTTATGCTGAATAAAGTTATTCAACAGAGAGTTTTTCACTATATATATATTAAAATGATTTTAGATATAAAAAACAACACCGTATCGGTTTCATTATATATATATAATTTATAATACTACAGTACAATGGTGAATAACGTCGTTCCGGTTGCACTTCCTCAAAGATCAAATAAGATGCGTATGCTTATAATTCTTAATGTGTTCTTATTTTCATGTCTATTCTTAACTAAATTTGACTTCAATTTACCTCGTACAATGTTTCAAGGCATATTGAATCCTTCAGTTAACTACAATAAAAGCAATACAACAATTGCATCCATAACTAAAAACAATACTATTCCAATCATTGATAAGAAAATAAATGTACTGAATAACTCAAAAATTATTGGAAATTCAAGTACATCTGATCAACCTAAAGAAGCATTTGTAACATTTTGCAATAATGAACGATCATATTTAGCGCTTTTGAACGTTTTATTAGATTCTATTCATGCTTTTTCAACAAGACCTATTATTGCTTTTGGAATTGATGTTGATCTAAATGTTGATACAAAAAAATATCCACGACTTATTAAACGACGTATATCACAACGCGATTGTGGTCCAGTAATGTATTTGTTTCTTACTATTTAAATTAGAAAAACAGTAGAGAAATAATATATATGACAGATATTTTGCTTACACTCTACATTTTATCTTTTTAATACTAATATAACTGTTCTTAAAACTAAAAAGTATAAAACCTTCTGTAATACATTATATTAAGTATAAAATAAATAGCGAAACCTATGTTACCTGACGCAGTGAGATGATGATACTATCATGAACTTTATCATTTTGAGATTACAGCGCACGTATAGTTAGCCTCAATAAAAAAACAGTTTTTTTATATAAAACACAATATTATAATTTATCTAATTCTTTTATTATTTTTTTTAGTCAGTTTTCTTCTGTAAAATACATGCTATTGTCAGTAGCAATCTTGATTATGGAGTTTTAATGGAAACAGATGATGTCGTTAATTATAATGTTGATCTACTCTTTGACGTTCTTCATGTTTGGCCTCATCCAGTACCGATTTCGCCTCGTCATCCCGATGATCCACAGAATTATTTTGGTTTCATGAATACATTCAATGTTTCTCGACGTACTACACATTATATACATGCTCATATGATTTGGAACTATCATGCAATGCCATTTCTACGAAATCTTCGATCACTTTTGCGGGCCGGTAATTTTCGAGGAGCCAATTGGGATGAAACCGCTGTTAATGTAATGTTATGGAAAGCTGGAGCTGATCATACACTATGCAAATATGGTAAGAACATTATTTATTAAGCTTGATTAACGAGTTTTGACAAACATAGAACATTAATTTCTAGATTCTATGTCATACTCTCGTTTATAATTGTGTGCTCTCCGTTTCTTACTTTTTCAAATGATAAACTAGAACAGTATAAAAGATGTAGAGAACATTACGCTAAACCGTACAAAACAAGAATTCTCATTTAGTGATAAAAGTAAAAATTCTATGAGATTACTTGAAAAATAGATCCATGTTCGAAGATTGAAAACTTATGTAGATTATATTAGTACTGCAATCAAGTAACTTCGTTGTGTTATAAATATAACTTAATAAGGTTTAATGAAAAACGTATTCAGATTTTTTTTGATTATTTATATTTTACTTTAGATCCTTATTTTACATACGTTGATACATATGAACGTTGGCCTAATATTACAAACTGTAGTCAATATTGTCATACGGTGTTTCTTACATTACATGGTTCTAAAGATGCCGAGGTTTCAGCATCACTTTTAAAACGACTTATAAAACTGAAAGGGACACCAACTTTACAGACACGAGGTATGGGTGGTCTCTATCATGTGAATGACACTAAAGTAACGTGTTGTTATCCAGATACTGAACCATCACCTCTGCATCCACTTTTATGTAAACATCCTCCAGCTTAATTTTTTGTTTTAGATAAAATAATGTGACTTATATTTTTTTCGAAAACTAGTGAAATCATTTGAATATATATATATATATTTAATTTCAATCAATAATAGCATTTATGATCTTTTAAATCAAGATTATTATTTTTTAGTAAATGTATTTATCAGATAAATATGAAATTGAATCGCTAAAAAGTATAAGTATGAACAGAAAATATATTTATTTTTCTATATTAATCAAACGTAGTTTTTTTTAAAAAAAATTTAATCTGATCAGTAAAAATAATAGCAAGAATCGTAAAAGAATTTATGAACAAAATTCTGTCATTATTCATAATTTAAATATAATGCCGTGTTCTATATCGAACAAGTATGCGTATATACATATACAATCGTGTGTATACTATTTATTCACTATTTTATAATAACAAATAATTATAAATGATCAACAAACAAAAAGATCTATTAACATATTACTGAAGCAAACCGTAGTTGATCTTTAAAAAATTCTCTAAAACAACTAATATCGACAATGGAAGAATCTTTGACGTAAATATGTCATTTAAAACTGATCTGTTTTCTTCTGTCTTTTAAATAAACGTCACAGGCTTATATAACTGTTTAGTCAATGTTCTATCAATATATATTAAACTTGATTTGATTTGATCTGTAATTTATTTTCGATGAAATTTTTCTTCCTATTTACATTATGAAATGAAGAATAATCACCGTATCATATATCTTTAATACGATCAATGAAGTTTTAATTATAATATTTCTTTAACAAAATAGTATTTGGTTTCACACTTTGATATAGTTGCAATAACTAGTAGTTATAAAGAAACAAACTGTAAAACCTCAAATAATCTTTATTATCGTCTTATTCATTGATGAAATATAAAACAAAAGATTACTATTGTAATAGTTAGTTAAAAAATAAAAGAATAGGTCAGATTTTAATAAAGATTAATGATATATAAGTAAAAGTTTTATTTTTTAAGTTTTATCTGTTACGAATAAAATCTTACAATGAAACTGAAGTATGTTATTTTTTTTTCTATAGGGTATTAAACTTTGACATATAAGTTAAATTAAAGGTAAGGATATTTCTTTTTCTTTCAATATGTATAATCGAGACTATGATACAATCTCTTTTGCGTCCTTTCGTTTGAGTATGTATAAAATATACATACATCGGATAAAATTGAGTTCAATAATATATATGTATACACATTAAAATAGTATGTGTCGCAACTCGACTGTATTATATTTCATATATATATATGTGTAAATTACAACTTTTTGATACAATTGACGTGAGAAAATAAAAGTAGGTCTAGACGATTTTTGAGTAATATATTTTCTTATACTCTATGCCTGTATTAAACAGTAAAATTTTCCTAAATACTTTACTGAATATAAAGAGATAAGTGACCCGATACAATCTATAATATACTTAAAATTTCTGATCGCATTCTGCCCAATTAAATAATAACGGAAAAGAATGTTTTAGGATCGATTCAACCGAAAGTATTTAGGAAAAAAGCGTAAGTCTATTCTCTTGAACAGTGCATGAGCAAGAGCTGAAATTTTTGCCACCTCCCGAATAACTCTACACAGAAATACGCAAGTGCCTGTCAAACAACGTAGACACTCGATGAGGGAATAAGAAAAGAGTAACATTTAAATCAATTACATATTTTGTTAGAACGTCCAACACAGTACAAATTGGACTATTTACATTCTTTTTTTCTCTTGTTTTATTTACACAAGTCATCAATAAGTCACGTTTTTTTTATAATATATTTCTTGTAACTCAGCGACGGAATGAGCTAGAGGGGTTAAAACGTGGCGTGGATATGAGATACTCAGAGTGGAGTAACGTATACAAAAATTGTTCAAATCGATCAACAAGAAAAAAAGTTATTAGTCAAATACAGTTAAAACCTCAATTGTACCCAAAAATTTGCGATTCATTCATATATATTATAATCTATCTCTCGCTCATTTTTATTTCTCTATGCTCGTTTACAATTCATAAATAATCTTTTATTAATAAAGATTTAATAGTATGTTAGTGGGAGATATTCTACAATATGGAATCTAATACGTCTACAGGTTTCTTTTTTTACATTATTGAAATTTTTAGATGTTATTTGGTATTTCTATTATCATTATTTATTTTTCTTTGGTTAACAGTCTATTAAATGGTACTGTTAACCGTCAAATTCGTCCTCTAACATCGTTTTCGTTCGATGAAATTATGGTTGATGGTGCATTCGATGTTTATCTAACTCAAACATTAAATGGAACGTCTAATCCTACAGTAGAAATCGAAACAAATCCTGATATTCAAGAGCATATTATTGTTGAAATAATTGAAAATCATATTCTTTCAATTCATATTAAAGGTCCATTAATGATTAATGATAATATTTATGCTTATATTCGATTTCCTTCACCATTACGTCGTTATACAATTAAAGGTACTGGTAATACACAAACAGATGATAATGGAATCTCAAATCAAGCTATTGACACATTTATCTTAGATAATCGAGGTGTAGCTAATGTTGCTATGCGATTAAATGTTACTAAATTTGAAGTGTATTTTACTGGTACAGGTAATAGTCGTTTCTGGGGTGTAGTACGACAGGATGCTTTATTCGATGCGAAAGGTGTTGGTGATATTAATGCATTGAATTTATTAACTAAAACAGCTCATGTACAATCTATGGGAGTTAGTATTGTACGAGTATCAGCTACAGATGATATTCAAATAGAAGTAACTGGTGTTTCAAACGTTTACTATCGCTTACCTGCCGGAAAAAAACCCAGTAAAGCAATTTCAACTGGACTCGGAAAAATTGTACCTATTTCTTAGATTGTATTGATTAGTATATTTAAGAATAAAATTATATAGAATCAAATCTTTCTTTATACAATCAATTGATAGTATTACATTTATTTATCTATATACTGGAAACTATTTCGTTATTTCTTTTTGCATTATAAAAACAAGTCGTATTTCTTATTAAGAGTAGAAGTTCGTCCCTATTTTTCATCAATACAATTACAAATAAACGTTCTATATAATTAAAATGAGAACGATGTCAAGTTGCCATTTTTTACGGTCAAAACTATTTAAAATTTTCTTTTATCAAATTCAAAAGAGTAATACCAAATTAAATAATATTGTTGTATTACAAAAAAAGAGGTATTATACTAATAAGCTTAATAAACGCGATCATTTAATAGTAAAAATAGTTTTGATTAAGAGATTTTTTTTTCCTTCTCTAACAGTGGTATATTTAACGATCTTAGTGACGGATAATTCTGTACACAAACAGTATGTGTTTTTAAAAGCTTAAAAATCGAAATTATTCTCCTAGGCATTTAAGTTTGATTTTTACCTGGACTCAACACATGAAATGAAATAGTTCTATAAACAATTTTTGCTCCACATAGAAATATTTCATATTGAGAAAATTTTAAACACAAATCTTACTCAATTGATATAAGCGAAAAGCAAACGTCAATACAAAGTTTTGTATTTGTATATAATAAACTCTTTAATAGTAACATAGGTTATTATAGTTTCTGAACTGATTAAATTTTCAAATGATAATCTTGACGTAGATGTGAAGAAATTATATGCGCGGTTTCCTATATAAACACATTTGTTTGAAAAAGTAAATTCATTTGTTTTATGTACTTTAAAAGACATTTTAGAATCGAAGAATATTTTTTTTCTTTTTTACCGCACTCTCAACAAAAATTGTCTAAGCCACAACAATAACAATGCATTCGATCGTTTTTTTCTTCAAACAGTTTTATACATTGTTGTTATTGATCCATGTCGATGGCCAACACCTCAACACATACCTATAATTCTTTTTTCTTTTGACTTGAAAATAAAAAAAAAACATATTTTTTCTCTTTTTCTTTATTTAATGTTGTCGCTTACGGTTAAATCGCTCTTTTCTGCTTGATTTGTATGAATTGAAATTGTTTAAATATTTTTTTTCTCTCTCTCCCTCTCTATATGTTGTGGTCTTCTTCATCATTCATCATACATACATTCGTACTGGTAAGGCAACAACGAGAAAATACCGATCACAACCACATTAACAATAACAGAGTGTGAAAATTGATACGATCATGTCTACTAAAATCTTTCTTCGACGATTAACTGATATGGCATCATTCGATACACTTCAAGATAAACTTTGCCGTCTTAATGACACATATTTGGTAAGTATTTAAAAAAAGAATCTACCATTTTAATTATACTAATCCATTCTCTTCTCTACAATTGTAAAATAAAAATATATTCTAGTCTAATTCATGCGATACAAATGTATCTCGATGTATCGATATTATCGAACTCAATGCACGTGTTCAACGAGAACTTTTCAAGCTTCTCAATCTCGTTTCAGCTGAAGGCAAGTATTATTTTTCGTATGTTTTGTCCCCCAACTAAAATAAAAAGAGAATATTCTCATCAACAAAATTACTGATAAATAAAAAAAAATATTCCGTTACGTATTTATTTCGATAAAATATAATCCGAAAAAGTTTTTTTTAATATTTTTGTATGTAAGAATTGTTAAAGATGAAAAAGAATTAAAACTGTATTTATTTTTCTCAATAAAAACAAACAACAACATCAACATTCTAATAGGGCGTTATTCAAGGTTGAATTTCGTTACTTATTATATAGAAAAGAAACTTGTATTTTATTATATAAGGCAGTACATTGATATTAAAAAAAAGAAGAAGCATCACCGGATGATCGTAATGATCAATAAGTATACTCAAAAAAACGTTTATTTCCGAAACAAAACATAAGTTTTCATTCTATAAATATATATATATATATACATATATATTGTATTCAGTTCATACATTAATAATTCTGTTACATTTCTTTATTGAACAAATTCATCATCTCTCGAATTCTTGATATGTAATTATCATTGAGAATGACCTTTTTTTCTCATTAAGAATTTATATTCACTAGTTTCTATCGATTCCTCTTGAGTTCACTTGGTTTCTTAGATCGATGTTGTCATGATGGGGCAGGCCCGGATGTCATGCAATCAACCAACATCTGCACACAAAATGTACTTCTTTCGTTTCCGATATAGAGTTCAATAACAGATGACACTCAAACTTGATTCTTAACATCGTTTGGACGATGATAGATAAAAATAATAATGAGTTTTCTAGTCTGTTTGACATACAAGTCAATAAACAGACAACAAACTAATTTAACCTGAAGGTATTTAAGAAGAAGAAAAAAAGATAAAAATAGATGATAATGTATTCTGTATGCAGTTCATAATAAACAATAGCGTGTAACACTATGCAATGAAAAAGTCTATAGTAGACCACACGCACACATCTCCGTATGTGACAATTTAGTAATGATAGTTTATCAGTCGACTTTTTTCTTAACATCCTCTTCTACAAGCATTAGGGATTAGTACAACATGCTATTCTTTTTCATCTGTCTCTCATCTTCCATTTTCCATCATTCATAATTAACTAGAGGCGACAATTTTGTTCGGTCTCTTCTTCCTTTTATTTAATAGCCTTTCCCGTGCACATTTCCTTCTTCGAGAGTATGCATTAAGCATCAGCATGAATAAAGTAGAAAAAGAATGACTAATGTTACATTTTTTTTCTTTTCAACTGGTCAATACTATCTCAAAATCTAGACAAAAGATTTTATGAATAAAAAGAAAGAAAAAAAATAACGACATGTTTGCTACACATGACCAATTCTATTATTTTCATATTTCTATCGACACTAGTATTATCAGTAGAAAGAAATATGGAACGAATAAAGGAGTGGCAATTCAACCGCTCGTTCTCATGTTGTGTATGTACTTTATCATTATGTTGTGAAACAGAGGATGCAAGTAATAATACAAAGACGTTATGAACGTCATAGTCTTGATGACGGAAAAAAAGAAAGAAAGAAAGAAAAAGTAGAACATGATAATGATGATAGTAGATGACGAATCCTTCAGTTTTTTTTCTAATTGACATACACGTACAAAATCTGACAAGTGAACGATCAATTGAACATGTCTGTGATGTGATCAAGTAGCAGAATAGTATAGTTATGATTATCAATATAAAATTTTGATTAAAACAAAAACGACTATATAAAAGCCGATTGTTTCAATCTGATATGACTAAAAGCTTCGTATTTCAGTAAGCAACTAATAATAAAATGAAGTATTCATATAGGCTTTAACCAGAAAAAAAAGAACGATTTTGTGCTTCCGTGAACATTTTTTTTTCTTATTGTAAATACGACGAGTAGTATTCTCATCTTCGAAACACTCATTTTTTCTCTTCTTCTTTTTATCTTATTCTAGTCTGTCATCTTCTTTTCTTTCCGTTATCCTTGGTGTCTAATTGAAGTTCGCAAAAGCTCGATCGAGTTGCGCTTTACTAAGAAAAAAAAAATCTCATCATGATTGTTCAACCATCGTGTATGATGTGCGAAAGAAGAAAAGAAAAAGAAAGAAGTCGGCTTCTTTTTTTTCCTTAACATCGTCGTCAAATAAAAAATGCTTTCTTCCGGGTGTCGATCTTTTTTTTCTTCGTTTCTCTCTAGCTCTTTCTCTTTCTCTTTCTCTCTCTCTCTCTCTCTCTCTCTCTCTCT